AATACATGCAATCGTATATAAAATATGGAAATGCAAAAAGTATTCAGAAAATAATGCAACGTAAACAAAACTTAAATTTAACTTATGTTACTAAATATATAGAAAAGCATTATTATTATTATTGCCAAAGATATGTTAAGGAATGTTTATAAAGTGTTTGAAAGTATTTAAAGATACTGCCCCTTATTTAACAGAATTAGATGATGGAAATCTTTTCTATTCTAATTTAATAATAGAAACAATTCTTAAGTTAATGTCATAGAATAAAAATAAATGTGTGTGATAAAACAAATAAATATACACACTTTCAAACAGCAAATTATATACAAATGTATATACACAATATAGCAATATAAAACATTATTTCACAGAATATCAGAATACTATAAATGTATATTGTACCTCAAAATCTTTTCAGACACTGCATTATTATACTTCTGAGACGTTTACGGATCTTTTGATCACCGTTACAGAAAATGTGCGTAGAGTTATCTCCGATCTGAATCAGAGTGTCCTCGTCTTGCTGCAAGTAGATATAATATAATTTTAATTCTCTTAATTGTATTGATTATATGTTTACATAATTATCAAGAAGATTATTTTCTATAATCTATATTGAAAAAGTCAATGAGATATCAAATCATACCAAATGAATACTCGTAGAGGTAGGACTGTGCTGTAATTTGGCTCCATGAAAACCTTCCTGATTCAGCTTTTGCAGCAATTCTTGTGGGTCTAGATTTCCATACTCATGCTTTCGTTCCTTTAGCACTTCTTCCATGATGGGCGCAGGCGAACCCAATGACATTTTCCTCTTTCCAGTCAGTTTATCCTCTACATTCTATAAACGTTACTTTTTTTAATTACATTTAATAATTTAGAAAAAACGAATCATGTATAAACAAATATATTACATTTTTTCTCCCAGTAAATCTTTTTCATTGAAAATATTTTCTACAAAAGAGCATGCTGTAATATTTATCTTGAGCATAAAATTCATATTTATCTATATATTAATAATTACTTTTATAGTATACACATTGTCCTTGACATCAAGTTCGCCGGTAACAGATGCGAGACTTAAACCAGGTCGTACTTCACTCGGTACAATATTGCTAGCTAATTCCGGCTCGATAAATACACGGCCCTTCTTCCGCTTTAATGGCAATTTTATCACCTCTCCGCGTTTAAAAGTAATCAAGGGTTTTTCCTTGAACAAAGTAATTATGCAAGTTATTTTATAGGATATTTTTTACATATTTTATAAATATATTAAAGATGGAAAACAAAACAAAAAATTGTAAACATAAATTATGTAAAAATGAGAAATTTATTTTATTAAATATCTACCCCAATGGATTCGATGACAAGATCCGTTCTATGTGGTGCCATTCCAGGGGGCTGTATATAAACCTCAGGAATTACTAAGTGCTCTGGTTTCAAATCCCGTATGAGTTTATTAGCCTGAGTAAAATTCAGAGAGGTATCGATGGGACAGTGCACTGCTTTCATAGATAATGGTTGAAAAGGAGCGAGGGCTTCTAAATATGGAAAATCAGGTTCTGTAAGAAAATTATATAAATATAAATAATGTTACAAAGAAAATATTAATAAAATATAATA